CCGCATCACATGCGCGTGCGCTGTGCGCCGCATGTGCCGCGTCCCCGCGCATGAGATGCGCCGCAAGTATGATTTATAATGTTGATGGCATAGGTGATGAATTCCGCAGCCAAGACGCACCGCGTCCCTGTCCCGACAGGTGTCACACGAGAGTCGATCAATAATCCAGAATAAACGATCAATAATCCAGAATAAAGTATGATTCGGTAATGCACACAGAAATTCATTTATGTTGAAAATAGCCTGAGTCATTGTCCCACCATCCCACAGTTTCCACTGGGCAGCCTCGTCAAAGGGTCATCTGTTCGAACAGGAGCTTTTTCCACCCTCAAGTGAACAAAAAACCAGGTTGAAACAGAATAAGCGTGAGTTGTAAGCTTACAATCAACATGAGCTTGGTGCCAAGTTGGTCCCTCAATTGATCTCGCTTCTGCATCAGCCGGTTCAGCACTTTTCTCTTCTCACGAAGACTGTATAAACAGCAACATTTTGTGGGGAAAACCAAAAACCAGCAAACAAAAACACACAAAGAGCCGATACAAACAAAGGATGAGTCGACAGAAACGAGGAATCAGCCCATCCACGTCAATCAAATCCACTGAGATTTTTACGTTTGTTCTTGGAGGAATGTCCCTGTATCATGTCTTCCGTCATCAAACCCACACTCACATACAATATGTGTAGCATTCAGCTACCAGGCTGATAGAAACCACGCATTTGAAGACATGCTCAGGGAAAACTGACATATTACAAAATATCGGGGGTTCGAATCCCTCTCCATCCATTCATGTATGTTAATTACGGATAATGAATTCAGTATTGAAAATGATTATCGAGGAAGCTCGAATTCGTTTTTTGTGGATTTTTGGAATGTTTACACACATGTGGGACCCATTCAAAGAGATCGTAAATATGGGAATTACAGTAAAATATATTACCGACTCTGGCTCGGAACAGAAGAACTCAAAAAGTTTCTTCAAATTATCTTGCCATATATTCCTGTTCAAAGTATGCTAAGAAAAACGATGTTGCTTTACAAAGATGTCGAGTTACTGCCGCCATTTACTGGGGCTTCCATTCGAAGCTTATGTCACTTCTCCTTTTCACCTTCCAGCACCGGGCAGGTGTCAGACTCTGAAGCAGTTTTGGCCACCACTTCGTGTCCAGCACCGGATTGCTGCACTTTGTGCCTGGAGGCTCGCAAGAGTCAGTCGAGTACAAAATACAGGTAGGTCCTGCGCTATCATGAAGGGTCGAAGAGAAAGCACTTGGTTGAAACAAAGTTCAACACAACCGCCCCAACCTAGCTCATGATAAGCCCGCCAATTCCTACAGTTAAAAAACACCAGCACGTTAAAATCCAAATCCGTATCATTCCGATTGGAATGAAGGAAAGAATAAAAATCAATTGTCCGAGTATTGATTCTTCAGCATATTTTATGCTTCATGGCTTTTGCCCCATAGGCGCGTGAGCGCTTATAGAAGAACTGGCTCATAACGGTGGAACCGTTAGTTCTTATTTATACAAACAAAGAACCATGGCAATACCGTGGGAAGTCTGTGGATTGTATGTAGAAAAGAAAGCAATTCAATGAACGCGAGCGCCTTCATAGACCCCGTAACGACTGACTCAAAAGAGGAGAGCATGATTGATTCCATGCTAATACGCCAGTACTCACCCAATTTCATTTACCTTGAGGATCTAGTCAGTTTCTAAGGCGAGCGGCTCGACTGACTCCTAGTCGTATTGGATCTAGCATATGAAGATGGAAAGCGTGGGCGTATGATGCCGCCTTCGGCCTACGAGGTGAGATAAACGTATAGCCTAACCTCTAGTGAAAACTAGAGATGATTGGAAAGGCCAATCAAACTCGGAGATAGCTGGTTTTCCGCAACATCGTTTTTCTTACATACTTTGAACAGGAAAGGATTCCAAGAGGCACAGCAACAGACATAGGTCCTTTGGGGGTCCATAGGTCCTTCGGGGGTCCTGCCGAGTGGGGAGGAGGGGAGTTGCAGGAGAGGCGAGGGAAGGACACGAGAGGACAATCAAAGAGAGGGGGAGAGAGAAGTAGAGGAAAGCGGAGGACAGATGGAGGAAAGAAAAGAGAGGGGGGCAAAGGAAAGAGAAAAGGGGGAGCTGAAAAGAAGGTAAGGGGGACCTTGGGGGCCCTGCCAAGTGGGGAGGAGGGGAGTTGCGGGAGAGGTGAGGGAAGGACACGAGAGGACGATCAAGGGGGGGGAGAAGCCAGCCAGGTGTTGCACAAGACCCAATGGCACTTTGTGCGCACTAAGGTGTAAAACAAATCTCCACATTAGACCGGTCACGTTCATGCTAACTTAGCACCAGAGCCCCGCCCCATGCATGCGCACTAAGCGTAGCATGAACCTGGACGCCAGATGGACCACATTCACGACTGCCTCGTGTGCAGATAGATTCACAGCACACATTAACAGTACAGGCTTTCCGATCCTTAATTAATTAATTAAATGGGTTCACCCAATCAACTATAAGTTCGCAAAAAAAGTGCAGGCACTGATCAGTGAAGGCATGGAATGAGCCAGGTCGGACGGACCAACTGCATGAATCGGGACACAAAACATGAAACATGCATCCATCACAAGGGTGAACTTGGCAGACAGCAAGCCAGAGGCCACAGAGCCAGCCAGCCTGCCACGTGTCACTCCATGACATCACTCCCGTAAGCTATGGCAGTCCTCACCTGCTATGTGGAGGGCAAATATCGTCTTCCGATCTTTATTTTCCCGGATCACCAGATTCTCCCAATCGACAATGATCAATCGGCAATCAACGCGCCACCATTTGCATTGGCACAGTTCGGCACAGAGGTGCTGCCACACCATGCATGACCGCTACTGAAAAGACAGTGTGGCACGCTTCGGCACAGAGGTGCTGCCACACCATGCATGACCGCTACTGAAGAGACGAATCCTTCAGTGTGTGCCGGTGCACCAGATCCTCTCTCCCTCTCTCTCTCTCTCTCTCTCAATCTCTCTCTCTCTCTCTCTCTCTCTCTCTCTCTCTCTCTCTCTCTCTCTCTCTCTCTGTCTGTCTCTCTGTGTGTGTGTGTGTGTGTGTGTGTGTGTGTGTGTGTGTGTGTGTGTGTGTGTGTTGTTAAAGTACCCCAAATTATCTATCTCATTTCCTCCACAAATCAGACAAAACATCCATCCATAACAAAAAGGTATAGATAGCTTATCTCTATACTATTAAAAGATACAAAGGTCCCGCCAACATGCCTGGTCACGGTCCCAAGGGAAACCTGTGGACGGGCGGAACCGGGCAGGGGAACCGGTGCAGGGGCGAGGCCTGCGCTGAGGCGGGAAGGGAGACTTGGCCCGCGCTGAGGCGGGCAGGGAAATTTGAACCGGTGCAGGGGTGAGGCCCGCGCCGAGGCG